CAAGAAATAAAAAATTACCTTATCCGCCAACCACTCCCCGACATACTCTGTCCCATCTACATGCGTCAATGTCCCAATTCTACACATAAAGCGACATATCGACACAGTTCTTCCCTCTTGTATCCTACCCGTGTTTTTGGTCTGCCATCAGAAACAGATAATGATCGAAGTATAGATCTTTAAGGGACTTACCGAACTGCCATTCGCCATTATAGAGCTTCCCATTCACATAGCGATACGTCCCACGACCATGAACTCTCCCCTGAGGACGCATGAAATGTCCCAATCGACGACTCTCGTTTGGAATGTGTTCCAAGTTGGAACGTAATTGTCGCTCAGTGCCGTCAATACCTTCCGCCACTCTCCTTCATAAATTGCACCACGATGAGATGCAAATTTCCCTAAACCCTCAGCCTGAAGGAATTAATCGATCAATCAAGACGGAGGTGACTCCTCACCTGATCGTTCTCCCAATTTCCTTCATAAAAGCTTCCATCAGCATAAGCTAAACGTCCCGAAACTGTCGAATAGAGAAAATAATCAATCGTCATACAAAACGATATTCATTTTAACGAAGCGAATATCTTGGATAAACATGATGACTCACCCGCATTTCATGTTATCTCGACACGTTCCTGTGTAAACGTCACCCTCTTGATAGCGATAAACACCTTCTCCCGTCATTTTCCCTTCAACCCAATCTCCTGTGTATTCACTCCCGGAAATGAAAGACGTAGCGGCCCTTGCCGTGCATCAGATCTGAATTAGAAATTGTGAGGAATGCATCCATCGGTAGGACACTCGTCTAGGACGGCAAGTACTTCCAAATAGATGACCCTCAGCGACATTCAATGTAGAGTGAGGACAATTTGTCTTACCATTGTGCCAGTCGCCTTCATAGCTTTCCTCAAAAGTTGCAACTATCCCTGATGCCTCCCGCTTTTTTCTGGGGGTTTGAGTCGATAATCGTGTCCAAGAAGCGGTGGGGATTTCCCAGCCTTAGCTTGTCCTTCTGATCATCAACCTCGTCTTCTTTATCAGCCGCTGTCTCGTACCCTCGCTTTGTTTTGTACTGCATCTTTCCAAAGCCTTCCGTTTATCGTCTTCCCAAGTTCCGATATAAACATCCCCGTTTAAATACCTAAAAAAAAATAATCTCTTCATTAATTCAGAGATGTTGTCACTTACATAAACTTCCCCGGACCCGTTCATCCGGTTATTTTTCCATTCCCCATTATATGAATCACCGTTTAAATGGGTCACAGTTCCAGTTCCAGATCGTACACCGCGATCCCAAGTTCCTACAAAACAGAAAGATAAACAATCGCAATAGAGTCTAATGACTCAACCTGTATAGACGCTCCCATCGGCGTATTTCATTGTCCCATACCCATGGGGAACGCCGTTGTTCAGGTCACCACAATACTCTCCTTCATTGATGGTCTCATTGGTGTCATACTTTGGATTTCCATTTCGAGTCATCGTGCTGCTGATGAGACTTGTTTTCACAACATCGCTACTGCTTGAAGTACGGATGCGATTTGTATTATCTTCCGTAGATGTCCAGCGAGTATCATCATATTCTGTAGAGCCGATCGTCGTCACTGTGGTGTCAATGATTTCTTCAGGTCTGTTATCACTGTTGCCTTCATCTCCCAATAAGGATGATTTTGGGGCTTCTGTGGATGGATTAAAAGCTGAGCTGGTTTCACCTCCGTTGTCCTCTTCTACCATTGGAGGTGATACTTTTCGTCTGTTGCGCTGTGGACGCCTGCGACCTTTTGGCTTGGCTGACATTTTCACACAACAAAATTGACAAACAATAAGGCGGAATGCCGATTGAACATATGGGGTCCCGCTGAAATTGAGTTCTTTTGGAGCTCAAAGAAAATGCTGGTTTCGATGTTTGCCGTTAAACACCGCACATAAAAAATCTGTTGGCCACGGGAGGCAATAAATGAGCACCTTGAGAAAGGATGGAGAGGCAGCAATTGTTCACTGAGTTTTCAATTTGCTCGATTTTGAAAGACTCGAGAACAAAGGATCCTTCTACCTGGATGCATGCATGCTTTTGTCCTGTTTGTTCTCCCTCAAGCCATTTCAACACTGTTCCTACCATCTTATCTAAGATACAAGCTGCAAAGTAGTGCTTTCAGCAATTCACTCAAAAGTTCCAGTTGACAATACAGAAAATACGAATTTCTTAACTCGACTGGTACACGGATCAAAAAGTTGTACAATTGTCCGTGATCACCAAGTCGCTATCCTCGAATATTTGAACAATTAAAATTCATCGTCGAAGATACTCCGAGTGCCGAACGCGGATCCAATTTGATCGGTGCTCCTTCACACAAATCAACTCATAATGATTGGTCTTCGATTGTAGAATTTCGGTCCCTCCCAACATCGTCTTTCCTCCATGTTCTTCACCCAACTCAATCTCCACAACATGCACGTGCTGTGGGTTGAACACGGTCAACGCGCCAGTTGAGCACAGATCATAAGAACTTGAAGAACCGTTCGTTTTAAACGGGAAAGTCACTTCGAGCGAGCAGTAAGATGAGTCGAGTTCAGGACTGATGTGTGCAGTTGCAAAATGTGGCGCGAAACGAGAAATTGTTGATCCCTGGGTGATTGTTTGATCCTCCATAAGGGCGTTACAGGAATAGCCGCACGGACTAAACCAGAACTGATCTAATGCAGACCTCTCCTTACAATCTTCTCGTGATGGTTTCATAATTTGCTGTAACGCCGTTGTCTTTGTCGTAGTATCAGAATTATATCCACTGCCTTTACCAGCAAAATCTTCCACTGATGACTCGTTGATACCAAGCATCATCAATTCACTAATCAGGAGAGGCTCTTCTTCAACCATTCCCTCCTTCTCTTTCGGTTGATTGTTGTATCCATAAACAAAGAACTCACGCGCGATGGAAGTGCGAAGGGAGAAAAATTCAACAGATTCTTTTGGGACAGTTTGGCGACGGAAAAATTGATCCAGATATTCAATCTCTTCTTCATTCGAGCGATGAGGATATCGTTGCTTCTCTGGAAAGCAATAGGTGAGATGTGAGAACACCATGAACTGAACGACGTGTTGTGCTGATGATGCAATCCAAGATGTATTTTCGCTTTCAGAAATCTCATCAAGAGCCGCTTGAATTTCCAATTTTGATGAACTTGAGGATCCAGAAATTAAACACGGCATTGACGTGACTGCTTTGATGGGATCAACTGATGCTTCGTCATCACTCACTGAACCATTCAAAAGACCAAAAGTGTCCCAATCAGCCTTATTACACGATGATGGTGAAAGAGTTATCTTTGGTGATAAGTCGAGCGTGTTTCTGTTTCCATCAACATCTTGATCTTCGCTCGAGCTGATCCCCATCGACCCAACAGTTGATCCACTTGCCAAAGACGCACAATCATCTGAAAGCTTGATTCGGCCTGATTTTGAATTTGGAGAAACGATTCCCGTTACAAAACTCAAAAGTGTTGGCAACACAAGAAGAGGAGTTGTTGTCCTGGAGAAGAATCAAAGGCTTAAAATGAATTGAGCTCATCTTTATTACCCGCAAGTTTTTAACACAATTCGACTGTTATAAACAAACAGAGAGGATTCAGACAACAAGTACGCGGTGCATGCTCCAGAACTCGTTTCCAAAGACGTGAATGACAGAATTTGACATTTTGCTTTATCAAGCATCGATTGCCAATCTGATGATTCCAAGCTTCGCAACGATCCGTTTCGCAGTCGGGGAGACGCTTCCAAGGCATCTTGGAAAAACTCGACAATAAGCCGCTTCTCGACACCTTCAAAGGGCCCAACACTGAACTCAGGATATGGGCTCAAGTCCTTCGTGTCATTGGGACACAAGACCGATTCTTGGGACTTGGAATCCATGAAAGAAGGATCCACTTGGGAATTCATCAATAGAGAGACCTTTTCGTATAAATCAGTAGCCAGAGGGGAATCTCTGAAAGACTTCTGAGACATCTTGAACAGTTTAGCAAAGGGGTGGGAATAAAATTAACACAGTCAATCAATCGATGAGACGGAAGGAAAAGAACCAAAAACTAGGAATCTGGAAAGACCAACCAAGCGTTGAGACGAAACAAAATAGACCACTTGAGCAAACGGAGACGAACGAATCAAAATAGAGGAGAGAGATAAATAATAGAGTGGACCCTGATGATAGACTTGTCTACAAATATAAGAAGGGTGATGGAGGAATGTAAATAATAGGGAACGAAGAAAAATGAACAAGCTGCTGAGATTTATGAGATTTGATCTCAAATGAATCTCAAAGATGTGAAGTATGAGAATTACATCATCATCGAGCACGGGATGGATACCGATCTCCCTGAAAATGACATCAACACATGAATGAGGAACACTTCGACGGTGAAACCTACTTGTTGATGAACAAGGGAAAAAATGCAAGACTCGAAATCAAACAAGTACACAAACGAAGACTGAAATCAAGTTGGGCACCGCGAACAAGGGCGTCTCCAACAACAAGGGAAGAGAGAGAGACGCTTTGAATGGTTTCAGACGGGAATAAAATTGCAACAAACTGATTACGCGGACTGATAGCCTTCGTTTAAAGGATGAGAAATGTTAGGGGGGTCTTGCACGGTTGGCTCCCCAAACCCAAATAAAGGAAACGAGGACGTTTCGAAGCGACATAAAATCTGTTAGAATAATTATGAGGATAGAAATATCAACTGACGACCAGTTGAATTCTCCATAAATAAAAACCCTGGTCGTCGAGTGGGCAGATAAGATTTCTGTTTGTCCGCAAGATTGATTAAATCGATTTCCAACTCGGAAAATGACGAAGAAATGGCAAATTCGAACTGCTTATCACTAACAAAGTGCACGTTTGGGGCGAGACAACTAGGCATGAAACGTGACGGTCCTGTTAGAGTGATATACAAATTGATCAGAAAAAGAAATGATCCATGAAAGATTGTTTGAATAGCAAAATGGAATATTAAAATGTTTTTCTCCCAATGTTTCTAAATCCTGTGCCAGTGCACTTTACAATTATGCTTGTGATCTGCATGATTTCTTCTTCTTCTTCTTGATCCTCTTCCTCATTTCTTGGCAATGGGGGAGATTCGACCTCCTCAAATGAAAAAGTTACTCCAGAAAAATCTTTCAGGTGGCGTAAAAATTGCACAGCATAAGGCGCTATCCTGGAAACTTTAATCTGGCAAATTACAAAATGTATTTTAAATCACGATCACGGACATCTCACCTTGCACGGCTCATGCTCTTCTGCTAGTGCCATAAACAGGAATGGAATGTGTTGATACGTCGTATCTATGACACCTCCATAATGAATTTCTAATAACAGGCGCTGAGCACACAGCCTTCCAATCAATTCACTTTCACTGAGCTGATTCACACCATTTAATTCCTCCGCATCTGAAGCAAACGTATTTAATGCCAACACAGTTAACTTGCAGCACACCTTTTTTTACGTTTTCCACTTCTTTTTCCAAAAGTTGTTCAATTCCATGCTTCCTTGTTATGACGGAATTCAGTTCATTGATTTCGTTGCCACCGATTCCTTTCATTGTTTTTAGTTTTTCTTGCATGTTTGCATCAACCACTAAATCCGCTCCCTTATGAAATCCTTTCATCGTTTCTGCGACTAACGTGATGCCATACCCTGCTGAGGGTCCTTCAACTCCGCTCCGACTTTTTGCATCATAAATCCAAACATCTGTCAAAACCACAGGATCATAAGAACGACAACCCCTCTGTTCAAATCTCCACCATCGAATAAGCATAAAACTCACCAGGCAGAAAATCGTTCAGCATTCCTCTTGCTCTATCGATCATTCTTCTAGAAAATTGCGGAGAAACGTGATTCGTGAATGCAGTCCCTCTAACGCGCTTCACTCTCCCTTCTTCTAATAACTGAAATGGAGCGATCTTCTGCAGAATTGGGCACCTGAACTCAACAAGCCCTTGACCGAGTGGTGGCAAGCCTGAGAAGAAAAGCAGTAATGTTGCTGCTAAGGAGTCAAGGGACAAGCCAGAAGCCCCTTATTATGAATTCACCTCTCTTCAATACGTTCAATGAGAGACCCTCTTTGATTCCAAGATGACCCATAAAAGGAAGAACCACTGTTCTGAAATAGTCAATGCACGGGTCACGCACGCACATGCATTTCCGTGGGGTTATTCCCTTGAGGCGAATATGAAGAGGCTTTTTAGCAAATGGGGCAACAAGAAGCAACGCCTCGACGAAATAAGTAATATTTCGCTCAGAGTCCGCAATCATACTCAAGGACTTCATCTGTCCCAACAATCAACCCGGGAATGTAAGTTAATTCAGTTCCCGTTACATCAATCTTGACGTATTGACCATCTGTCACCAAACTAAGCAGACGAATTAAATTGGCTTCATATTTTCTTAATCCAGGATCAACTTCATCAGAACGGATGTTTGAAATTCTAATAGGGCGATTGAAGACTGTTGAAAGAACAACGCGTTGGCGGAAAGAATTCGCACCGTTGTACCGCAGTGGAGGATGGCGTTCGCTCGCGAGTTTCACCGGGGGAGGGTTTCCATCGCTTCGCCTTTTAAAGCCGCGGGCTCGAGCTGTCATTAAAATTCTATCAGTTCAAAAGGTGGTCCAGGTCGAGGCTGAGCTCATTGATGAACAAAGTATTTCCCTGACCTTCGAAACTGATAGAAGTGGAGTTCATATGATCTGAGAGATGATTCTCACAGAGCTTGAAACTTCTTTGTTGGGGGGGTGTGACTTGTTCAAACACTTCCATTGAGTTTCTTTGCTTGGGTTAATCATTGTTTGCTACCGGTAGATCTCAGAAATGACTTGAAAATAGTTTTTGGAGTTCATTTGCCGGTCAAAGATCACGAAAGTTTGATGCTGGGACTGTCAGAAGGATTTTGCATGAATCCATTTTTCCTTTTTCCATCTTTTCCTCTTCAGATTGTCCTCGCTACGAATTGAAGGATGTGAATGGATTCTGCTCAGCATCTCAACTTTCTCATGCATCCGATTGAAAGTTGAGAAATTTCCAAAACAATCAAAATTGGAGTTTGTTTCATACGCGCAAATCAAAATTCATAAAAGGATCATCAGAAGCGTCTCTCTTGATGCCTGAATTTATTCATTTTGACTTTTTTGTAACTTGTGAAGTGTTGAGCGAATTTTTATATTCTTCGTCGGTTTTAACGCCCAGTGAATTGGAGTTACCTCAAAACGAAACAAGCTAAAGAATTGTGATTGTGCACACACATTTTGAATGTTAACAACTTGTCTGTGTTCTGGGAAGCATGCAACAGGACAACAGATATAGCGCCTGCAACTCAGTCTTAATCAAATTTCCAGTAATCATCATTGTTCACACTAAGATTTCTGAGAAGGTTGATGGCTCATTCTTTAACAAACCAACTCTTGTCGTTTCCGCCGGCGTCCAACCTTTTGGACAACATTCATCCAAAAGAAAGAGAAATCTATCTTGCGTTTCATTCTCGCAATTGCGCTCGTCATCCAACTTAGATCCACCATCCCATACCGAATGAGAATTCCCTCTTTTGCGTATAATTAATGGACTTTTGTTTTCGCTGTTTCTGTATGTCTGCAGCCTTCTTTCCTCAAAGGCACTCATTTCACTCCATCATTATCAACATTCCAACCGATTTTTGTACTTGATACCATTTTGATCTTTATAATTCCTCCTTCTTGCATCTTTCTTATTCCATCATGTCGATGTTGAGCATTCCCAGCTACAAAACCGATGATCCAAATTATCGGTACAAGATGCCGAAGCTCGTCGCCAAAGTTGAAGGTCGCGGTAACGGAATTCGTACCAACATCGTCAACATGGCGGACATTGCTCGCGCTCTCAAACGACCTCCTGACTGTAACGTTTCATATTTGTGCTCCACGCGGACTCTTTTTTTGTTTGTAGATCCGACAAAGTTTTGCGGCCATGAATTGGGGCGCTCAGTCCAAATTCGATCCAGCAGAGGGAAAGGCGATTGTGAATGGTGCCATGAGCAGCGTGACCTTCAGGTCTTGATCGACAAGTTCATTGACAAATTCGTGTTGTGTCAAAATTGTAATTTGCCAGAAATTGATTTGCAACTAAAGAAGGGGCGTGTTGTTTATCATTGCAACGCTTGTGGTGATCAGGCTGAGACGGATAATGCGCATAAGCTCGCAACGTTCATTTTACGAAATCCACCAGATGGAGGGGACTCCACACTTGGCGCGAAAAAGTATGTTGTTGTATGGATTTCGCTGGTGTAATTTATGGATAAAGTTGTTTTGTGGTGTCTATTGAGTCACGAGATCGTTGTCTTGTTCTTAATGCTTTCTGCTGTTCAGGAAAACCAAAGAAGAACGAAAAGCGTTAAAGGCTCAACAGCAGAAACTGCGAGAAGATGGCGGAAAGCGATGAGAAAGCAGAGAAGGAAAGAGAAAAAGGGAAAAGAAAGAGAAGAAAGAAAACAAGAAGGATAAGGAAGGAAAGGATAAGGACGGAAAAGAGAAAAAATCAAGAAAAAATGCGAAGAGAAAATGGTGAAATTGGAAGCAACGATGACGAGGATGTTTGTGACGAGGGAAACCAAAAAGAGCGAGGGATCATCCAATTCTGATGGGGACGATAAAAAAACGAAGAAGAAAAAGAGCCGTAAAGATAAAAATGGAGCAGACCAAGAAGATCTTACTTACACGTCACCAGAAATTATCAGCGTGACGCAAAATATGATGAATTTCGTTTCGGTTGTTGGAGAGGATGAAAGCAAACATTGGAAGACGTCGATGACTCCCGCTGGATTTTTTGAACAACTTCGTTTGCTTCAAGTGTCCCAAGAGTTTGACCATCGAATCAAAGTGTATGTTGCATTGGATGTTTTGTTCAATAAAGACTTTGGACTTCTCACTCCGGACACCCCTCCAGCAAAAGTCGAAATTTCTCATACCTGTAAGTGGCAGAGGTGTTTGTTTTGATGATTAATTCCCTTAGGTGACTCAAAATATGGCGCAACGTGACATTCTTACGGCGTTGGAAGATTTTGTTGAAGCGCGATGTGGAACTTCTGTGCTCGGCTTCAAAAATTATCCCTACTTTCTTCAAAAGTTGTACTCTGCTGATATTCTGAGTGACGAAGGAATTCTAACTCACTATAATTCGAAAAAAGTCGCTGCTGAGGGGCGTGAGGGTCACTCGAAAGCGAAGATCGCCGCAAAGCCATTTTTGGCTTGGCTGGAACAAAATGACTCTGAGGAGTCAGATGAAGAGGAGGAGGAGGAGGAGGAAGAGTCAACGCCTGAAGACCTGAAGAAGCCATCAGCGGCAGTGGGAGGAGCCCAAAGCATACAAACAGCAAAGACGACTGATACAACGTAGGTTGTGTGCATTGAGGCTGATCATTTGTCTATTTGTCTTTTAGTGCAGATGCTGATGATATTAACATCGATGATATTTAGAATCTATTCTGTGTTTGAATTTCTTGTGAGTCGTGGTTTCTTGAACCGTTTAAACAAACTAGTGAACTAACTCGTTTTTGATTGTTACTTACGCCTGTACCAAAACGGGACTTCTCCGCTCGTGATTTGACGACGGAAGATTGGGGAGGATGAAAAGGTTTTTAACCAATTGATGCTGCTGATTGGAAGCGTCGCTCGTAAATCAAGTCTGGAAATCCAAATGCGACTCAATTTGCGTGTTCTGGACAAGCGGACACAGAAACTGGGTCACCATAAAACGAACAGGTCCACGACCAAGAAAACCTGGTTGTGATGAAGGCGGAAGCGGACAGAACCGATGGACAACAGCAAGTGGAAGTTCGATTCGCGACTGAAATGGAAGATGAACGTTTCCATTTCTTGAGTGGAGGAATTGTGCTTCCCGTTAACTTGACGAGACGTGGATTATCCGAAGTCCTTAATACATTGCTCGAATTAGAAGAGTCTGTAGCATTCGATTTCTTGATCGAATTTTCAGGAAGAAATGAAGACGGAACACTCTCACAACAACGCGTTCTCCTCCGCACTTCTCTTTCCAAGTATGACACTCTTATCCACAGTGATTGCTCTTCTGTTGAGAGACACTGGACTTTCTAGATGTGCATCAAGACCAAAATACAGCGATGACACTCTTATCATGTGTTTTTGTTCATCTCCTTCATTCAGGTTTATGAAAGCTCACAAAATCACGTCTGAATCTGCTCTTGTTCTTCATTATTTTCTTGCACGGTCAAAATTCGAATCCTCAGATTTTTCGTCAACTGACGATTGGGTCGTTTGTCTGTCATCATTACAACCAGAATCAGATCAACCATTTATCATTTCCAGTGGATCTGCTGATGGATCGTGTAAATTATACCGTACGTCGATTTCTAATAGACTGCGAAGATGATTGTGTTCATCCAGATGTGACCGTCCCAGACACCACCACGATGACAACACTCCCCCCCTTCTTTGAAGACAAGAAACAACTCAGCTGTCGGAAAACATCTTCCTCATCGTTGTCTTCCATTCTGTTGTCCGATCTATCGATCAATGATTCAATACTGGAAGTGATTGCGACTAACAAATCTGGAGAAATAGTCGTTGGATATCACGAAATAGAAAATCAACAAAGCGGCCGTAACAGTCATTTCAAAGGGACGAAGGTGAGAAAAAATAAAAAAATCTAGCTGCTAATGCTTGAATAATCTGATTCTCCAATTTGAATAACTTAAGGCTCGAATTTGATCAAATTTGCATGATTGGCGAAATTGAACATGAGTTATGAAGATTTGACAACAAATTGTGTTGCAGTCCATATGGTGCCTTGACGAGTATCGCTTTATCACACGACGGTGCAAGTTACGGGGACAGTT